CCAGACGACTGACTCGAGATGAAAATGGCAAAGTTATTCTCAGTAAAACCTTCTGTGGTTCTGCTGCGTACGCAGCCCCTGAAGTGTTACAGGGCATTCCCTATCAGCCTAAGATTTATGACATATGGAGTCTGGGTGTCATTTTGTATATAATGGTCTGTGGATCAATGCCATATGACGACTCAAACATTAGAAAAATGCTAAAGATTCAGAAAGAACACAGAGTGCACTTTCCCAAGTCTAAAAACTTGACAGTTGAATGCAAAGATCTTATTTACCGCATGCTGCAGCCGGACGTGGCTCGGAGGTTGCACGTAGATGAGATTTTAAATCATATTTGGATGCAGACTCCAAAATCCAGAGTTCCTTCAGCAACTTCATTTGTAAATGAGGGAGAGTGTTCTCGGAATCTTGGCAAGTTGAAGTCAGAGCACAAACAGGAAATAGAACCTGTGGGGGAATCTAAGCCAGATAGAGCAGATTACAAAACTGATTCTAAAGTAGTGCCCAGATTGGAGGCAGTACCGGAAGCAGAGGATGCCGGTTCCGAGGAAGAGCAAGCAGAAGTTAATGACCTTACAGATGAAATGCAAAGAACAGCGATCACAAATGGCGATGACTAAAGAATAGCCACCTGCAAAAGTCGTTTGCATGGCTTCCACGCAATTAATGAGTAAGACTATGAAGTTAGTTTTGAAAAACAAGAGCCCAGAACAGGAGAAAGTAAAGTCCATTCATAACAAGCAACTATTTTATAGCAATTCTATTAAATTTTCTTCTAACTTGGTAACCATGTTGCTGAATTGAAGGGTTAAATAGGGAGATAGATTTTCCAAGCCACCTAATAGATCTGTATGCCTCAGTGACATAAGGCCTATGGAGTACTGTCGAATGCTGAAAGAGCTGCGGTGAGTTAAGGTTTCTCATCACCATCTCATGCCCCTTTCACATCTGGGCATTAAGAGTGGCAGCTAGCCCTCTCCAAGCCAGTTCTGTTATGTGCATAGAAAAGAAATGGTCATTGTTTCCTTTCATAGCCCAGTGCCGCAGTGGTGCTGGAGTTACTGGGTATGGCAATTTCTCACCTCACTAAGATTTACTAAATATTCAATGCAGCAGCATCACAACAGCAGGTTTGGCAATTTTTTTTCTCCGTTTTCTGATGCAAAGAAATGGATTTTGCTAAACCATGTCACAGTGTAAATGGAGCGCTGCTATGCAATTGATTACAAGTGCTGATATGCTTACCCATAGGGAAAAGGCAAACTGCACGACTAAGACCCCTCGATTTGTCATATTCTAATAACAGGGAACTCTTATTGTTTGAAAACGCAGCAAAGGGGACGCCCTCCCCTTACAAACCATAACTCGGCCTGGAAACGTGCCTCCTGTTAGAAGTAATACCTGAGATTCCTGTAACTCTAGATTTGCCTCACTTCACTTCACCTTTGTAAATTTGACGGCAGTGTATCTAGCTAATCAATGTCTCCTGTTGTTTGTGAGAGACTCAGAGGCAGGTACTGGATTAATTCACGGAGGAGATGGAGCATTTTGAAATGTGATTGTAAAGGCATAAATTGGCTGGAGGGACTCAGGGGCAGCTGTAGAGTGTGAAACTACTTTGGATTCTTCTCTACCAGCTGCCCAACCTTCAAGTGACCGTGTCCCACTGAACTGTCCCATTTTATGAAACTTTCCAGTGTTACATTAACCATTTAGGAATAACCAGCCTTAACGTTCTTGGCAATCTGAGCACGGAGAGAGATCCGGAACAATGTTAGCTTTTTCCTGGGCATTGCATGGGGCAAATCAGGTTCTGGTTAGCACCACGCCTGAAAGGTCAACTGCTGAGACCCCTTTCCACTGAAGGAGAGATTGCAAGTAGCCCCAGTCAGGGTTACAAAAGCTACACTGGACATGGTGCTCACTGCCCTACTAGGAAAGGACTCCCACTCCCACTGGGACAGCTTTGAAACCACACCAATAAAAACTGAACTACTGCTTGAGTTAACAGTAGTTTTTGCATATACTGTAAATAATTCCCTACAGTTCTACACCAATCCCTGCCCAGGGGATGCTATTACAAACATTCAGCTGCCTTTGAGAAAAGCATAGCGATTGGTTAGAATACCTGAGAGAGCTAAATCTTTACTACAGTTTAGAAGCAGGGTTGGGGGAAGAGGGAAGTACCAGATCCCTACTAGCCCTCAGCAGCTACAAAAGTGATTGGGAGAGGGGCACAGCAGTGAGGTCCAGGACTCACTCCCCCGATCCCCTCCCCCAGCACAGACCCTGCCTGGGGAGAAGGAGAGAGTCCTGGCAATTACTGTGAGCCGCACTCCATGGGCATCAGTTATAGGCTCTATCGATTCTCAAGTGCTAGGTGTCAAATCACCATGAAGCATCACAGCCCTCTAGCTGCTGGAAGGGAGGAGTTTCCTCTTTTCCCTTTGCTGCAGCCTCCTGGTTGCTGTGAGCCACCGGGGGAGGTGTGTCTCCACTACTCCATATCCTCCTCCAGGCTGCTGAAGGAGCCAGGGAGAAGGAGGGATGAGAAGAGGTGTAGCTAGGGAACTTTCTAGGTCTTCCTTTCCCACCAATCACTCCAGCTCCTCACAGCCTTCCCAAAACACCACCACCAGAGTGTTCCGAACAGCAGCAGCTGTGAAACTGACCCCAGTCTTAATTTCATTCTGCTGCTGCAGGGCAGAGCTAGGGGCAGCACTGGCGCCATCTGCAGAAGGAGGAAGGTGATGCATTGTTTGCATTTGGTAAGCTCTCTTCACAACAGCTCACCAGAAATAATTTAGCAAGTGAAAGCTCATGTCTGCCAAAATTAACAGTTTATGCCCCTCTCCCTCACCAGAAAATGCTTCCATTCATTAAAGCAGATTTTTCTAACCCTGAATTGCAACATTAATACAAATATTTTTCTGTAGCTTTTAGAAACATCTCCCACCCCTACTTTCACTCTCTCCTCAAGCAAACCGTGCTAATGCATCTGCTCAGCACTTGTTGCCGTGGTGGTTATCCTCTGTCAGCTTGACGCTTCTACTGCCAAGCAGAGCAAGGCAGAAAACGCAGCTCACTGAAGTGACTGACTGGGGATCAGAGACTTTCAAGCTTGTAAGGAAAGTTCTGCTTTTAAAGAGAGAGAGAGACACACACACACACAGACTGGCCATTAACAACAAAAAATAGAATTTTTATACCTTGGAAAAGCCAAGTGATCTCGCCAATTCAACTACAGCCTGAGCCAATGGCCATTGAAGTCAATGAGAAGCTGACTACTGAAGTCAGTGGAAACTGGATCAGGACCATA